AAAAGAAAAATTATTCGTCAGTTGTTCGCATAGCATTATTGAGGGGAAGTATACTTCAGCCTCAACAGCTCTTGCTTGATTCACTGTGGTTCTTCTGGACGATGCAGTCTAACTTAAGACTGTTGCACAGTCCTGGTTGTCCACCGCTGCAGGTACATGGCTTTTCTTTTAGCCTTCAAACGTTCAAGGTGGGAAAGTCTGACAGATATCAATATTAGATTGATTTGTGAATAGGTGAAGTCATAGTCCTCTTCCCTCTTTTCCCCAGTTGTCTTGATCTCTTTTTGAGGTTCTGCTGGAGAAAATTCTGTGCCTTGATACTAAAGCAAACATTTCATTTCTCAGTTTCTACAGATCAAGTGATGAGATGTCATGTGTGAACCTCCTGAAGGCTGAGAAGAGAAACTCTGACTTCCCCACAGAAAATTGTGAACTGCAGTTTCTTACTGGCTAGCAACACCTTTGATTCAATTTGTATGAAAACTCAATTTCCTTATTAAAATGGACATTATTGTTCAAATATTAGAAACTCCATTTCTTACATGTTCCAAGCTGTACAATTGTCAGATTTTTATGGTTTAGATTGTAAATGTGTTTTTCTCTGGCTAATTATTGGTATTATTTTTTTAATTTTGATGTCTTAAAGGCCAATGTACTGTATCATAATAATATGAAGGACATATTCACAGGTGTGGGAAACACTGTATACAAATGTATATTTCTAAAAGCTATTTTTATGATTAGCATGTTTTACTGTTTTACCATATTTAGAGTCAGGTGATATTGCACTTATTTGTTTACAGCTTAATTCAAACAAAATAATTATTATCAGTGTCACAATTAAGTACATTGTATGGTATTTTCCATTATTTTATTTATTATATTCATAATTGGAAACAATTATGTTTACTAATAAGGATAGCTGCTAAAATGTGAAAATGTCAAAATAAGAGAGAAATCTTGATAAACAGTAAATTGGATCCTCCTGTAAATCCCTTTCTTCAGATAAATACTCTTTGTGATGCCATTCATCAAACAGGTGTTCCAGCTCTTCCTGTAAGTCTCTAAAGGCAATTTTTTGCTACCATACAGAAAGTTTACATGACAGTCAGTCTCCTGTCTACCCAGGTAAATTACTCACAGATTGACAATATCTGACAGCCTGAGTTAGCCTACTGATTACTTTTGGTTTATTTTCTGGCAGCAGTCTTTCCACTCCCAAACCCCTAAAGCCCTCCTAAAAGCCTGAAGTTGAAATAATTAATTATTACAGATGTTATAGGGGGAACCTCAGTATAGAATTTCTTAATAAATTAAATTTCCTTTCAAACAGAATGGATGCATTATTTCTCTTGTGCTACTGAGACATTAAGGATATCAAAGCATATATTGTGTGGGCACAAGGTCTTTAATGAAAGTACCAAGTTGTTCACCATCCTAAAGCTAGACTTCCTTAGCACTGCAGATGACATGAAATGAGGAACTGAGGAAGAGATATTTATTCATCTACACCTTTATGTGATATATACTCCTATAGAAAGAGATATGTCTTTAAAGTGGCTGTAGGGGAACAAATTATTTAATAGCTACAGCCTTCCAAGAGGGAGAGGCATTCATTTAAGAAGTACCTTATGCAGCTCAGACCCAGCTGCATGCCAGTCTGCAGCATGAAGCCCTGACATCCACTGATATCCACAGCCAGGGACATTTGTTATTTGGGATCATCCAGCACCACAAAGATGAACCCTTGCCTTGCCCTTTCAATCATTCTCTTTGGCTGAAAGTAAGAGAAAAATAAAGGTAGCAGAGAGATTATTAAAGACATCAAACTTTCAATTTCTACAAAAATCATCAGTTTCTGAGATTATAGGTTCGTGTCAAACAGTGGGGGTATGAGGAGGTGGGAGCTCAGGGTTTATGGTCAGGTTTCCAGCATGGAGACAATAATCAAAGAAGGACTAATATTCTTCAAACGTTTGGAAGAAAAGCATACACTTGAATTTAATTATCTATAACTGAGTGGGAATTTACTTCACTAGGAGACTATGTAACATAGCACTCTCAGTTGTGTTTGTGTGTCTTATATTTAGCTTGTCTATTGTGTGTGGAGTTACATGGTTTACCTAAGTGCTGAGTAGTACCTAGCTACTTAAGGAAAGAATAGTATAAGTAGTTTTGCCTGAGCATACAGAATCACAGCTTCAGAATTCACCAAGGCTGACTCTCCCAGAAAAGTGCAGCAAAAAAATATTACATCTGTGTAAGTGAAATGTCAGGTCAAATCAAAGGGTGAAATATTTCTCCACTTTCTATCTATTAGTATAGGTTATCATCATTTTTAAGTGTAAAAATGCAAAAAGAATTGCCATTTTAAGATCTCCATCTTTGTCTGACAGTTGAAAAAAAAATAACTCCAAACCTTAGCAGCTCGACAGGCATTTTGCCCATTTCAATTATGTAAACAGTTGGCTGACTTAAAAGATCCAGAATGTCATCCAAGGGGGTCAGTTCTGATGTTGGTGTTAATAAACTACATACGAGAAACAGCCAAGTGTATCATCTCTTCACCACCTTCATTCCAAATGAGCCAATACTCACAGAAAATGCTCTATTAGATTTTTACAAATTCTTTCCAATCATTACCCTTAGATTATATATTCACAAAAATAATTGCACCATCATAACATCAACTCTGTTTCATGCCACAGTCCATAATATATTTTGAACACAAAAAGACACCTCTGATAACACCGTGGGGCACTACTTCATTTGCAAGCCAGAAGCATGTTGTGCCATGCAGTTGATTACTAGCAAGATTCCTAAATGGCATGTTTGCTTCAAGCCACTGCAGAGGATGCTGGTAGCTTCAAGAGAGCTTGATAGTTCTCTACTTTTCATGTATGCGGTATGCTCGGTGTTGTTTGCTGTCACTACCTATACCTGTTTCACATGGGTTTTGTCAGTTGTGGGGTATTTTAACACTGCTCATTCCTTGCAGTATGGAAGAATAGGAAACATAAAGGATCTTATCAATCAGTTTGGATAGTCACCAGTCTTACAAAATAATTTATGTACAGTCCTGAATTAAACCAATTCATTTTCTACACAGACCTAAACTCTCTGTGTATTTCAGATATTTGTTTCAAAGCCGTGCAGCTTCATGAATGGAAAATATTTGCTAAAAAGCTTTAAAGTTTGGATCAAGAAAAAATATTTTTACTTTTGTAAACTCTTGTATTACATATTGTTGCGGTTCTTATTAGTTTTCTCTGTAGATCCATTATTATTTTTGAAAAATCATTGTACTTAAACTATGTAGATAGCTACAATCTTGTAAGCAGTCATATTTTTAATAGGCACCACTGCAAGTCAGAATTAAAACATTCAGAATTTGCCCATGTAGAGCAGATTGATGGTTCATTACAGTTTTCTTTAAAATGTTGTAACATAATTTTTACATGTCTGTAAATAAATATTTTCTCAGATTTATGCACTAATTCAGTTCTGTAATTTCTTCTCTTAAAATGTGACTCTAAGAAACTTTTTCGGGAAACATATATTTATCTCACGGAAGAATACCATTTAAAGCTCTGTAATACAACCATGCTTCACAAGCTTTTCAAGCAGAACAGAAGCAGGTATCCATAGTACAAAGTAGGGAGCTGCTGATCTCTTCTCCCTAGTATCCAGTGATAGGATGCATGGAATGGTTTAATGTTGCATCAAGGGAGGTTTAGATTGGACATGAGGAAGCATTTCTTTACAGAGAGGTTGGTTGTACACTGGAATAGGCTTCCTAGAGAGGTGGTTGATGCCCCAAGCCTGTCAGTAGTTAAGAGGCATTTAGAAAATGCCCTTAACAACATCCTTTAATTTTTAGTCATCCCTGAAGTGGTCAGGCAGTTGAACTAGATGACCATTGTAGGCCCCTTCCAACTGAAATTTATTCTATTCTATTCTATTCTATTCTATTCTATTCTATTCTATTCTACTCAGTACCTAAGTAAGATGAAGAAAAATGTGGCAAATCCTGCTACCATTTTAACAGTTTGAGAAATTTAAGGACCAGTCCTTTTAATGACTGAGAAGAAATGTGACAAACTTACTGAAAAAGGGGAATTCTTCAGTGGGGTGAGAGAGAGAGAAAGAGAGAGATCCAGTGGTGATATTTCATTGAATTTGAGGAATGCATTTTCTTAACCTTGGAAGCTTCTAAGTTTCATGTATCACTAAAGCAGCATTAATATAGCTTATGAAAACCATGTTAAAAGTAGTAATTTTGTGTTTGGTATTCAAACACATTTTTTATTCACTGTTTATTAGTCCATTCACAAAGTGCAGCTATACAGACAAACTAAGGAAAATCGGTCCACAAAGTCTATGAGAATGTTTTTAAGTTATACTGGTATTGTTGGGAACCCAGACTACTTTGAAATGTGTGTGATTTATATATGGTACATAATTTTCTAAATTTTTAAATGTGTTGTCCTTATTGTTACAGCTATGCCAGGTTTTGCACAAGTCTGTGAAATTTATAAACAACTTACTCTTACTCTTGCACAATTCAGGGCCAATTCCTCATTCAGAAAGAACCCTGCTGCAGATTAAATTCTAGTTGATTAAAATAATTTCTAATTCTTTTTGAGTAGAGAAGGTAGTCTAAGAACTTCAAAAGTTTCCAGTTTCCATGTTCAGAAGAATCCTCAACAGTTTAGAAAATTTAAATAAGGAATATATCTGATTTGAGAGGGAAAAGGACAATAAAGCAAGATAATTTCATTTTCTGTACTTGTCTGTCAAGATGTTATGTAATAAACATAATCAAAAAATTCACTTTGATAATCTTAAATTCTTTGTTGGATCATAACTGGGTTTTAGGGCAATTATTACTGAAATTAAAGAATCAATCAGCCAAGAATAAGTAGGGAGAGCATCCTGCAGTGTCAGATGGATAAAACATCGAACAATCTAACACTTCATGGGCAAAGGAGCAATACATTACAAATATTTTTGGAACAGAGATGTACTTAAGCCTTTGCATGATTAGTAACAAAGTATAGGAAATACAGTTTATGCAATTAAGTTATAGTCAGGATTATATTCCAGTATTATTTTTTTTATTTGCTCACATGAAGATCCATTCCAAGCCTCATTCATTGCCATTAGGGACAAAGACAAATATTACTGAGTTTTGAACCTGTTGGGAAAATCATTACAAAAATAATGCAAAATTATTAGAGGACTGGAGGAGTTTTCCACATAGGTAATGGAATCCTGTCTCTTTGCCTTAAGAGTCCTAAAGTGTGGCTCCAGAGGAAAGCACTAAAAATATTTTCTTCTCCCACAAGTTCTTTACTCTGAGGCACTAACCTTTTTCCATGTCTGCATTACTTAGGCTTTTACCCTCCCTGAAATAAACTTGTAGGAGTTCTCCATGACCTCTTGACGTCA